CCCAAATTGTTCGTGATCAAGTTCTAAATAACGTGTCAAGTTGGTGAAGCAACTATGTCAAACCTTTAAGTTAATTTTAGGAATCAATTCGAGTTCAAGACTTTCTTAAAAATGACTTATATAAGACTGATATTTGTATATAACTTATAATTATTATAATTATGTATACAGTTTCTCTACTGTTACTCATTTTTATATAAAAAGAAACAATGTTTTTCTAAAACGTGATATCAGAAATTGTTCTTTGCCCATGACATGAGCGTATTTTAGAATACTGATCGTGATCATTGAATTCTATTATTTTTCTCCAAAATTCAAGGTCTCTTGTAGTCTCCATCGTATATAAATTTGTTTTGATTCGATTTTTTTAATCAGAATTTTAATCTTAATAATTCCTAATTTGTTTCATGAAATCAAACCAAACAACTTTAACGTGGTTTAATTAATATCTTTCATAATTTCTTTCTACGTGGCATTGGAGTAATAAAACATTATATATAGAACTTTTTAATATATCCGATACGTAAGTATTTTAATGGAGTTATGCGATCTTGGTTAATACTCTAATAATGAAGATTGACGTGAATTGTAGTTTTACTCAATACTATTTATGGTAAATATTGAATGAGTTTAGTTACGAATTGGATATATCACTCCACCCACCCGTCATGTTAGGGTGAGAATCGACCTATCAATGATGTTATTAAAATGAAAATATTTTTACTTGAAGAATGCTGTTTTTGTATCTAACAAAAATTACTTAACAAACTAAACTAAAGAAAAGTATTTATCACAACAACCCACCTAGTTACCTAAGTTTTATCATGACTATTTTTGTTAAGCACAAATATAGGAATTTTTAAAATGCTATCTTTATTTTTTTGGAAACGACGAATAAATATATATAAATAAAAAGCTACAAGCTTAGTAAGAAACTAAGCAGAGCAGACAAGGTTCAAGAAATTAAAAGCACTTGAGTGAGGACGAACAACTCCAAACCGTCCAATTACAAGTTATATTTTCCCCTATGCTTACGCCAAATATAAGAAAGAGACATAACATTATCCACCACTTTTGTAGGGGAGGAGAACATTTTGTTACATACCTTGTCATTTCTCGCCTTCTATAAGCACCAAAACATGCAATAAAGGGTAGTAGTTAATACTTTCGTTGACGGTTTCCCCATGAGGCAACATAATCTAGGAAATCCACCACCAGTGTTAGTGAAGCAAGAGGAATACCACATCATCGGAAGATCCATTCTCGTGTTTTAGTAGTTAAGTCATAATTCACCAGCACATGATCTATTGTTTCGTTCTCCTGATCACAATGAGAGCAAACAATATATTGAATATTAACGCCCATATCCTTCAAAACAGATGCAACTGGAATTCTACCTTTTCCAACCCTCCAAACAAAACATAAGACCTTAAGTGGAACCAATTTAATCCATGTAGTGAGATTCCTGCTAGGGGTAGTGAGCTTGGAGTCAAATTGGCAATGCATATCCTCCACAGTAAAAACTTCATCAGAGGTACCATTGAACCGAAGGTGACTAGTGGAAGAATTAAAGATATTGAATCAATGACATGAGAAAGAACAAATAACTCTAGTGCAGTTGTATGATTAATAGGGGTTGTTTCTAATGCCAAGAGCATCTGCCACCAGACATTCGATCTAAGACCAAGTTATGATTCTTAGATTCTAGTGCATACAAGGCAGGAAACTACAACTGAAGGCTAGAGCTGTCAAGCCAAACATCCTTCCTGAAAAGGCTATTGTTACCACAAACCAGAACATGGGAGAAAATATATAAAAAAAATGTTCCATGAGTCAAGGTCCTTTGAGCCTTTTGCAATGTTGCACCACACCCATGTTAAGGAATTTTCGCAATGTGATTCGTCGACTTATTGTGAATGTTATGAATAGTACCAATTATGTCTTTCCAAAGAGAAGGTTCCCCATTTATAAGCTTCCACCGCCACTTAAGGAGTAAAGCGTCGTTTTAAACTTTTAGGGACCCCGCCCCCAATCCACCATCACATTTTGAAGCTAATACCTTGCTCCAAGAGACCCAAATTATTTTTGAAGTGTTTTCAGATCCACCCCACAAGAATCTTCTTCTTATCCTTTCAAGAGTTTCAATAATGCAAACATGAACTTTGAATAACAAGAAATAATAGGTGTGTAAACTACTTAGAACGACTTTAATTAAGGTGAAAAGATCTCCAAAAGATAAGGTTTTAGATTTCAAATTGACAACTTGATTGGAAACGCTCAACAATCGGTTGCCAATGCTTTTTTAAGGTCATGTTTGCACCCCAGGAACCCCCAGATAGTTGAAGGGAAGAGAGCCGGTGACACATCCAAGAAGACAGGCGTAATTATTGTTTTTCGATGGTGAAGTGCCTAAATCAAAGACTCTTGATTTTTGAAAGTTTACTTTAAGGCCGGAGAAAGCGTGAAAACATGATTCTTGCATAGTTTCTAATGTTAATGTAATCCCATTCACGTATAAAGATTGCATCATCCGCATATAATAGATGGGATATGAGAGGGCCATTTTTAGTGATCTTGATTCCATGAAATATAGATTTGTTGCAAGCATTTTTCATCGCCACATTAAGTCCTTCTATTGCAATTATGAATAAAAATGATGAAAGTGGGACACCTTGTCGAACATCACGGGAGATTATGAATAAAAATGGTGAAAGTGGATCACCTTGTCGAACACCACGGGAGATTGAAAACTCTTTGGTAGGGGAGCCATTTACAAACACCGATGCACGAAAGGAAGAAAGACACCCCCTTATCTATTTTCGCCATTTTCCCCCAAAACCCATTTGATCTAAGATGGAGTCAAGATATCCCTAGTTCAAGGAATCACATGCTATCTTAAAATCGACTTTAAACAAGAACATTTTTCTTCTTTGTTTTTTTTTGACCAACATCACAGTTCGTTGATGATGATGGGGCCTTCTAAGATGTTTCTACCCTCCACATATGTTGATTGAACCTCGTCTATTACTATTCCAATTACCTTTTTTAGTCTAGAGGCGAGTGTCTTTGCCATAATCTTGTACTTGTAATAAAAAGTGTTTACATCTTTTAGACTAATGATGTATTTAACATTTATCTTAGCATGTCTTAAAAGGTTAACTAATTTTGTAGTTAATTAATATAAACGCCATATATAACTAGTTGGTATTTTAACTTATCGAACATCTTCCATTGTACCAATATATGCAATTAATACGAAGCCTTAAATTTGTGGTATTTTTATCCACTATCTTGTACTTTATTAAAACCATTTATATGATGCGATCAATCATATAATAATAGAATATTTTTACATTAGTCTAATTGTTATTACTTGAAGAATTTTGTTTAATGACTTGAATTTTCTTTTTTCTAACAGATGGATTTTATTGGCTTCTACAAATTTTGGAACGGTAAGTAAATATCTACTAATTAATAAATCTAAAACAAAAACTTATGAACCATATTACAAAATCAATTATATATGGTTTTGTTTTCCAGATTACCAACAAAAATTCACAACATATGCAATGATGTTCCAAGATAGATTGGACCCAAACTTGATAGTAATAGCATTCAGAGGAACCGAACCATACGATGTCACCCAATGGGTGGTGGATGTTGACATCTCATGGTACGAGTTCAAAGATATGAACAACTCCACAACCATTGGTAGAATCCATGGTGGGTTCATGAAAGCACTTGGCTTACAACAAATAAAAGGTTGGCCAAAAGAGCTTGATCTGCCTCCTAATGCAAAGGACAAACACCCTTTTGCATACTACTATCTTAGAGAAAAGATTAAAGAGATTTTAGAAAAGAACCCAAATGCAAAGTTTATGGTGGCGGGCCACAGTTTAGGAGGTGCGTTAGCGATCTTGTTTTTAGCTGTGTTGGGGTTGCATGAAGAGACATGGTTGTTAAAGAGGTTCGAAGGAGTGTACACTTTTGGGCAACCAAGAGTTGGGGATGGGAGGTTTGGGAGATACATGATGAAGATCATTAAAGATCACGATGTGAGGTATTTTAGGTTTGTTTACAGCAATGATATCGTGCCTAGGGTGCCTTTTGACGACAATGCCTTGTTCTATAAGCATTTTGGATCAACTCTATACTATGATAGTGTCTACAATGGCAAGGTATACCGTATATCAGTCTTTTTTCATTTTAAGTTATAATTAATTAACTATAAGTTGTTTTATTTACTTAATTAACTTAGATATCGGTGGTTTTTTTTATCATGTATCAATGCAGAAAAAATAATTTAACACAGAAAGTAAGATAGTCAAGACATTCATCATTAAGTCCTAACATTTTACAAAATTTCCATAATTTTTTTTCTTTTATTTTCACAAGTATTCAGTCATTTTGCACAAATATTTTTTAAACATAACATATCGATGCATGCACCATTTTAAGTGCATGATGGTATTGATTGTCATAATTGTTTATATATGTTAGGTGTAAGTAATAATTAATATGTTGTGATTGTAAGTAATATTGTATGTGTTTTTATATTTGTAAAGCTAATGTTTGAATGTAAACTCAGGTTTTGAAAGAAGAACCGAACAAGAACTATTTCTCTTTGGTGTGGGTTATACCCAAGTATTTGACTGCAATTTGGGAGATAGTTAGGAGCATCATTTTGCCATACTGGAAGGGTAAAGAATACAAGGAAGAGTATTTAGAAATAATGCTTAGGATCCTCGGATTGATGATTCCGGGAATATCAGCTCATAGTCCCAAAGATTATATTGATATCTCCCGACTCGGGACAGATCTAATACCAGCTAATGACGAGCATGCCTACTATCAACATGTTGAAGGAAAATTTGACTAATCAATAGATATAGTACTACATGTGCATCCGAATGGAATAATGTCTAATATAGAATAAACATATATACATATAAATTTCTAGTGGAGGTCATACGAAACCAAACTATAGATGTCGCCTCATTGGAGTCATCCACATCGTCAAGACACGGTGTCATTTGTCTCGATGTATGTTGAAGTCTTTCTTCTCTCTGTGTCTTTTATTCAACAAGCTCGTACAAACACATAATATATTTTAAGTGATTCTTAACCTATTAACATAGTTTGTATTTATTTTAACTTACACATCAGATCCATACAAAAGCATGATTGACATTTAATATAAATTGGTTGAAATAGCTCGTTAATGCCTCTCGAAAATAGAAGTGCACAAAATTCGGATCTAATATTAGATTTTGGATATACCTAGACCATATTTTTCTGAATTTTGATTGAAAATTATCGGATTTTGGACCGGGTCAGATTTAACCGGTTATTTCAGAATTTTTCCGGATTTTCATATGGCATTGATAGGCTTTTTTGGATAAATCATATATATTTGGATTTTCAAAACGGATAAAATTTGGAGTAAATATTTGATGGCCAAATTTTCGCATAGCCAGTACATATATGAGGAATCGGATATATCAATTTCAAACATTCAGAATCAGATTAAAAAAAACTGATTGTATATTTTTTTAAATACAAATTAAGAGTCTAGATCTAGTTTTTGCACCTTTACTCGGAAACAAAAATAGTTCCACAGCTTGAGAAATTAACATATTTTTTGTTTGACCCTTTGCACATCTTTCTCACTTTTGCTTCATTGGTATAAAAAGCATCTTGAAAATTCCTAAAACTTAAATTTATTATTTACAATTGTTTTATTAGGTATACGATTGACGCACACACACATGTTTAAGATGCAAGAATAGTAATGAACAAAAGAATTATATAGTTCAAACGATTAGTGTAATTGTCGTGCTACGTCAACGACCAAACTAGAGAAATTTTATGTACTTCATAACGAGGTTTAAAATGTACATTGAAATCTATTTGTAAAGTTAGTATTGATAGTTTTGGGCCCAAAATACCATTTGTAAATCATCTTATGTTATAGCTCAACAATGTCCCACTTAGAGACTAACTTATCATTAAACCAAGTACCTTCTAAGACGTGTAACTCTCGTAAACCTAAAACCATATCTATCTATCTATCACACTCTCTCTCTCTCTCTCTATATATATATA